GGAAATTGATAACACAGTGTTTATCACTATTCTGTGTTTACCACCCCGTTAAGAAGACAGCAAAGGGACATTACCAGCTACCTGTTGATTCTGCCTTTGTCTGGTCTGCCACAGCATGGACAGTACTCAGCATGTGGTCTGCTAGCTAATGCTGAGAGTTGTCTGTATAAGGCAGAGGGGACTGCAGAATCACTGCTTAGCAGGGAGTGGGGAGGGGAGGTGAGGGGAGGGGAGGAACAGAGGGAAGCCAGGCAGACCCTTGCAGTCTCTGCCAAGCTCCAGTCAGGGAGCAGAGGGGAGGGGCCAGCTCTGCTGTGGAGCAGAGAGCCCCGCCCAGCCAGAGAGCATGCCAGGATGTTAGGGGAGTCTTGTTCATCTTAAACCCAGCAAGGGGTCTGGGACAGACATTGCATAAACTGGTTTGACCCAAATCAGTTAAGTCTGATACTACATTCAACCAGGTTTATGTCAAACTGGTTTCAGCCATTTTCAAACTGGTTTATGTGTACTGAACATCTGGTCTGTTACAGGTTTAAACCAGTTTCTGATCACTTAAACCAGTTTGTGTGTAAAGTCTGTCCCTAGCCCAAGGGAGAAAGCACTGGATTGAATGTGTAAACAGCGGGAATTAAGAAATGTAAAGTAGGGGTATATATGTTGTAGCCATGTTGGTTTAAGAATTATAGACAAACAAAACTCTTGGGTTAGAGGCAATATATTTTACTAGACCAATGAAATAGTAGCTTGCAAAGAAAAAACATTTTGCTACTGTTTAGTTGGTCTAATAAAAAGATATTGCCTCTAACCCAAGAGTTTTGTTTGTCTATGAAGTGTAAAGTAAACATTAGGAATAAAGTAGTTACACAGCTGTGACACAGGAAAAAGGAACCGCACAGGGAGGGAAGAGATCTTGGGAATGTAGCTGAGGAACAGGTGATGTAAAGACAGGAATGATGCTCATCACAGGGCGGTTAAACTGTAATTGGCCGGGATTACGAATGGTCTTTTTAGTTTCTCTTATCCATGGGCCTGTGGCTGCAAACAGTTACTGCTTGGCCTTGTGCTTACAGAAGTGGCTTCAGGGTAGTTAGCTGTAGGAGTAGGAAAAAAGTGTGTCAAATGCTGGTAAAGGCTAGAAACCTAGACCATCCTTCTAAACTCCACTTGGAGCTGGCACTGAAACCAGGGGTTTCTGGTTCCCTTTTGCTTTCAGGTGTTAAAGATAAAGATATTCTGCATGGCAGACTGAATGTGGAGAGCCAGATTTCTCAAAAGAGCTCAGCTCCTATTTTAGTATACACAGAAGGTCCAGATTTTGGGAAGTACTCCGAGGAGCTTCCAAGATGATGCTTAACATAATGTTTCACCATTTTAGGTTGGACATAAGAAAAAAATTCTTTACTGTCCAAGCCCTCAAGGCCTGGAATAGACTCCCCCCAGAGGTGATGCAAGTACCTACTCTGGACTATTTTAAGAAACATTTGGATGTTTATGTTGCTGGGGTCCTTTGACCCTAGCTGACCTCCTGCCCCTGGGGCAGGGGGCTGAACCCAATGATTTTGTGAGGTCCCTTCCAGCCCTAATGTCTATGAGATCTAAACAAACAGACATTTCCAAAAGTTTTGCTTAAAAAAGAAGTCACGTTAGTGAGGAAAACAGGGTATTTTGTATATAACTATATTACTCAAGCAGTTCTATTTAAAACCCAGCATGCTGAGCCCTCTGGGAAATCTGCCTTATACCATATAAACAACCCATGTCCCTGATCATTGAAAGCATAGGAGTCCCAGAACAGGCTCAGGTAATTCTTGATTGTCTGAGAAAGGGACTGCAGCACCTCTCATTGGACACACTTGATCTGATACAAGAGTCACTCAGCAAAAATGCCTCTGTCTCTTTCCGCAGATGCTTCACCATCTGAAATCAGGTTACTCAGCAAAAGAGCTCTCTGTTCCCAGAGCAGGCTCCTAGAATCTGCCACCCTGTCACATTCTGTGTATATAGCTGTTCCTTTGAGACATATCCAATTTGAACAGAGCAGGAATTTACTGGGCAATGCTGTATGGCAGGAAAACGCTGATATTGGGTTACTGGAAACACTGGCACTCTGACTTAAAGACTGCAGTGTCACGCATTTAATAAAGATTTTCTCAATTTAACACCAGTCAAGCTGTAATTAAAGACCAATGCTTTCATAACACTACAACAGCATAATGAAGCTTGTGAGGAAGAACCTCCTTTGCCATTCAGGCACATGAGGAAAACAAACGCAGCCCTAGGAGTTCATAGTCTGCATGTCCACATTTCAGATGGACGTTGTGATAACTGCTGCCTATCTTTTACTGCAGCAGAATGAGTGGGCTTCTGTCTTCAGCAATCATGATGGTAATATTGGCTTATGTTCCATGCTAAAATAGAAACCAAGGAGAAGAATATTTCTTGAACAACCAGTCCAAAATTAAAATTGATTAATTTATTGTTGTTATTATTCCCCCATTCCTTATATTGCTGTATGGTAGATTATAGCCAGCTGAAAACATGCTATCATTAATATCATTGGATGAAAGATGACTAAACAACTAGAGTTAGGCTGTGACTTGAGCCATATGCTTGTGTCAAAGGTTAAGGGAAGCTGTATGAATTTCCTTCCTGCTATTGTGAAAGCTACTTAGACTCGGGGTCCAGCTTGTCAAAGTAGTCCATGAACACACATGCACCAACCCTCACCTATGTAGCAGGCGATGAGTGGAGAGCATCTCAGTTTACATTTTGCTAGTGTTGGCCAACATAGATGAGCCAGTGGTAGGGTTGTAGTAACTTGCTTCTAGTCTAGGTAAGCTGCAAACAGTCTCCCCAGAGTCCTCACCACCCCTTGCTCAAAATCAGCCTGAAGCCCCAGGTCTGCCACTAGTACCAGATCCTGAAAACTTTTACTTACCCAAGTAGTCCCACTGGGCTCATTAGCAAAAAGTGACACATCAGACAGGTAGTGTAACAAGAAACAAGTCTTGCACTGTGTACACTGAGAGGCAGCTATTGCATTTATGGGTTCTTATACAGCAGCTTGACCTCCATCTGCATTTTGGAGCCTAGTTCCTTATTGAAACTTGACTCTCTTTAACACCTCAGGTGACACCCCTGAAGTCTGTGATCTACTTTATACTACTAAGATAAAACACAGGCTTTGAGGGATGTAGGATCAAGCCTGTAGCCAGCATGTTGTAGCCTTCTCATTTGATAGAAGTAGTTTTCACTTTAATATGAACAGTTTTAACAAATCCATCCTGAAAACAGGATTCTATATGATAAGAGTTAAGGAAACTCATGACTGCCCGAACTGTGGCATTCAGGTGTTTCATTTACAGCAGGTGTAGCTAACCTGCAGGACAAGTGCCAGATTTAGAGTATCAAAGTCAATGTTTTGAGTTGAGGTTGGGATTTCAGCATTAATATTATATTTGATTTTGAATGATACATTTGACAGCAGAGTCACTATTCCTCCAGAGAACATTTCATTCCCTTCTGTAGAAATCCATCACTTCCTCAGATTAGTGAAATCTAGTATCTTTCAATCTGTTTTACTGTTACCTACTGCTATATGGGCAATATCTGATTGGCAACTTGAGTCTATTATCTTCTCACATAGAAGTTTTCTGTGAATGAGAAGACTCTGAAGAACCTCTTGAGGCTGAGTTTTGCTCACATAGATAATATGGAAAGCATGATAGATATCTTTTAATAGCATCCGTGGTAATATCCAGTACTAACTGATTTAATTAGTTCTGCCAAAGAATTCATTGTGGTAGGTAGAACAATATGGGGAAAATGTAGCTGCCCACAGCATTCAGTGGAACAGTAACAGGGAGTACTTTTTATGGGGTATTAAACCAATGCAAGTGTCATCTTGCTCTCTCCCAAGATGATGGTTTTCAGGATAACCTTGTTGATTAACATACAGAATTGATGCTGCTGCAGTATAACCTGGTCATGTTGTCTCTCTCAGCCTCTGCACCTGTTTCTGGTATCTGGATGGGATGTCCAACTCTTCCCTCCTTTCCCCTTCCAAGTTGTTGTCAGCTACCATCTACCTAAATCCTCTACATCAACCTTATCAACCTTCCTCTCTGCTCTTTTACACTCCTGGCTCATTCCTTCTATCCTCAGAATCTCCCACAACCATTCCCTGTGATCTTAATTGCCAGGTTAATGACTGTAGCAGGGTCCTTTAAGTCCTGCTACTTAGACAATAAGAAGGCAGCATTAGAAGATTTCAATTCGATGTAGACAGCTGAGCTAGAGCCAGCTGCATTACAGTAAGTGGCCAGAAGAGAACCTAGATAAGGGTTATAGGGCTGCCTATAACAACTGGTGAGTTAGCCAGGCAATAGGCAACAGGACAGAACTCCAGGCAGAGAAGAAGGGCTGCAGCTCAGCAGAGCCAAATGTGGTTAGGGAGAGCAGGCCACCCCTGGGAATGGTCAGGGCATGTAACAGGAAGGAGCCTAGAGAGACATCAGCTTAGCTCAGAGTGGGTAATCTGGTCCAGGCTATGGAAAAAAGCTGCTAGCACAGGCCTAAGAGAGTTGTAACTGTGAGGAGGGCCAGAGCTGAGGAGAGGCTAGCTAAACAGACCAGGAGCCTGGGAAAGCCTGGAAAGAGGAACCCAGGAATGACTGGTGATTGTGGGGTTATTGTAGTCTGGTAAAGACTACAGGGGCCAGTTTGTGGCTGTAGAGATAGACAGAAGGCTGTGTGGGGCACTCTAGGTTTCAAGCCTTGCGCTGAGCAGAGGAATAACTGGGCTAAGGGCTGACCAAGAGGGCTAAGGTCAAAAGAGCTGAGGCCATGGTGGAGCAGGGGCTGAGACCAAGCCTGGGATGCTGAGACCAAAAAGACAGACCTGAATGAGTGGACTGAGGCCAAAAGTATCAGTCAGAAAAAAGGGGCCAAGACAATAAAGGCCAGAAAAAAAAGAGATGAGGACCCAAGGGGCCAGAATTACTAACTGATTGATACCTGTGAGGCATGGGCATAGCTCTGGGGGAGACTGGAGGCCACAATTAACACCCTTAAGGCCTTGAGACATGAGTGGTGCCTGCAGAGCATTGAATAGTTGGTGGTGGAAAAGGGTCCAGAGAGCAGCCAGTAGGACTGAGGGCCTAGCTAAGTCCATTAAAAGCAACAAGATCACTCCAGGATCCAAGGGCAGCCTCCCAATCCATATACATGAAAGTATGGCAGGAGAAATAACTGGGGAATACACTGAGGAGCTGGAGTGAGGCAGGTTGTATGTGGCCAACACAGGGCACCAGGGCCAGCACCAGGGGCCAGACCTGTTAGAGCAGAGGTAGGCAAAATGAAAGCCACAGGCCAAATTCAGCCCACCAAGGGATTTATTCTGACTCATGGCAATCACTTGGCCCTGCCTGGCTCAGATACAGGGGGCAGCCTGGGCCATGGCAGATGCGGCTAATCCCACCACCCCTGGGCACTCAGCAGGGGTGTGGTTGTGTGGCAGCCAGGCTTGCTTCCCGGCAGCAGTTCCTTCCAGCTGCCACTGCAAGTCTCTGCCACCACCACCAGACTCAGTCCCATTGCCTGGGCACCCTGGCCTGTCTGCTCTGTACCCACTGCCCATGGCACTGGACAGAGTGGGTAGGTGGGTGGGGCTTCTGTGGAGACTGGTCTGGGACTCCCATGGGCAGGATGCACTCAGCTGGATGGATGGGATAGGGCTGTGGGCAGGTGGGGAGTAGCATCCAGGAGCGGGACAGGTGGGTGGGCCTATGACTGGGGCTGGGATAGGCGTTGTGGAGCTGTGACAGTGCAGGGCTAGGGCCCGGAGCAGAGCCATGATCTGCTGCCCACACATCCCTGCAATGGGTGCCAGTTCCATGGACAGGAGCATGCAGGGAGCAGATCACAGCTTTACCCCCAGGCCCTGGCCCCAAGCTGTCTCAGCCATGTGATCCCAATTCCAGTCCCAGCCCCAGGCTCCTCCACTTGTCCTAGTATCCTGTTCTGGATACTATTCCCTGCCCACCCATGGCCCCATCCCACTTGCTTGCCTGAGCATACCCTGTCTGTGTGGGTCCTGGGCTGGTCTCCATGGAGCACCCAGGATTGCTGGGTGGTGACAGCGTGGGATCAGAGCCCAGGGCAGAGCCATGGTCCACTCCCCACACATGGAACCAGCACCCATCACAGAAGCAAGTAGAGAGTGGATCATGGCTCTGCCCTGGGATCTGACCCCAGGCTGTCAGGGCACCATGATCCCAATCCCAGCCCCAGGCCCAGTACACCTGCCCATTCCAGTCCCAGATGCCATTCCCTGCCTGTCCACAGCCCCATCCCATCCACCCAGCTAAGCATAGGGCAGAGTCACTTAGAGACTTTTGGTGAGCTGTTGCAGGCTGGCAGGGAAGGGATGGTGCTGACCTAGCCTACAGCAGCTCACCAAAACTCCCTAAGTGGCCTTCCAGCCCAAATAATTGCCCACCCCAGTGCTACAGTGACCTAGATAGCTCCTCTGCTGCATGTTAGTTAAGCACGTGTACCTTTATGAATAAAGGTGGCAGATACTGTGTTACAGTCTGAGTTACAAAGAAATATTCACATCAGTGTGCAGGTCATACTGTAGATAGTTATGACTGAGATTACTCTTAAAATCCTCAGGTCTTTCTCATAGTATTACCATGGGTTGGGACTAGTCTGAATCCCCTCAAGCCCACATAGAACGCAAGCTCCTTTGTCATGACTGCCCTTAGTTAGACTTAACAATAAAAGGCAATGGATTTCAGGCTACCCAAGCTGTTGCTAAATGCTTTTGCCCCACTGACTAAAGAAGCTAAACCATGATCCTAAATACATGTAGACTTGGATATATGTTGAGTCTTCTTTAACTTAATAACAAACTTCTGATTGAAATGCAAGACAATTGCATCCATAGCACAGAATCCTGCATCAGTCGCTAACAATTATTTTAGGAAAAGTACAAAAGTTATTGGACATTAGAGACCTAAAGACTTACAGGTATTGCTGGCCATAAATATCTAGCTGTTGTAGCAGCAGTGCGATTCTAATTTTTCTGCTTGATTTGCTTTAGTGCCAAGAAAGGGATTTTGCGCTAATTTGGGTGAAAACGGGTAACCACTGCTCCAAGCTAGTATCACACAACTACCAGAGTTCATGCAACTCCATGAACAGTCCTAATAGTCCTTTTGCCATTTCTTTCATTCTCAGGTTCCTAATACAATGTTTGAGTCTGAGCAGAGGCTGCTGAGGTATGAATAAGCCCATGCACATCCTGGCTATAGAACAAGGCAAATGTCTGAGTGCTTAGGAGTGAAGAATCTTGTCAACCTTAATTCTTTGCCAGCTTGCAATAAATGTTGCTGGCAGGGAGAAGGAAGGAATGCTCTATCATGCTTGTCTGCTCTGCAGTCTGCAGTCTGGTGCCATGACATTTGGCTTCATTTACTTGAGGATCTCAAAGCACCTGACAAACTTTACTTAACCTTGCAGCACTCTCTGATAATTGCCATGATCTGCTATGATTAAATTGACACACACAGGGTGAGGATGTTCAGAGGAGAAATTTGACATGCTGAGTATGTAACCCAGAGCCTCTCTCCTAAAATCCCAACAAGTTTGATGCCCTCCCCCACCCTAAGTCACACTGTGATGGCCAGATTCTGATACCCTAATTTACTCCTATTCATTATGAGTAATACTTCAGTAGTACCACATGGGGAAATAAGTCGGGGTGCAGAAAAGGAGTTAACAGAAGAAATATAATGTAGATCAGTGCTTCTCAAACTATCTGATGTGGCGGACCAGCAATTTTTTTTCCAGTGGGCCAGGGACCAATGCCCAGTTTCAGCTGGTGGCAGCAACTGCGTGTAACAGCGCTACACAGATGCGCGATCAGCTGTTTCTTTCTCTTTCCTCACCTCACATGACGTGACGTCACCTGGAGTGTTGGAACGTACGAACTGTGGCGCTATGCC